GAGGAGGAGGAAGAGGAGGAGGAGGAGGAGGAGGAGGAAAAGGAAAAGGAAATCGAGGAGGAAGGAGGGTGAGAAGGAGAAGGAGGAGGAGGAGGAGGAGGAGGAGGAAAAGGAGGAGGAGGCTGGGGAGGAGGAGGAGGAGGAGCAGGAGGAGGAGGAGGAGGAGACGGAGCACTCGGATGGCTGCTGAGACCGCCCGCAGGAGTGGTCACGCGAAGGGACTGAGCGAGGATGCCCAGAAAACGAATCGGTCCGATCATCCGAATCGTCGGTCCGAGAAGAAAAATCAGCACTACTCTGATGGAGCGTCGATGGAACACTGCCGCATGCAGTTCGATTGGATGGACTGCACTGCTCTGCAGCTCGTGGTGAAGCACAGCAGGTCGTTGCGCAACACAGTATCGCAGCGACATTGCGTAGCCTCGAATGGCTTAGCTTAGGATGACATCGCGTGGCACGGCATTGCATTGCATTGGATTGCCTTGCCTTGCTTTGCCTTGCCTTGCCTGGCATTGCATTGCATAGCGTAGGATTGCATCGTATGGCGTAGCATTGTACAGCATTGTGCCGCATAAGAGCAGCGAAACATAGTACAGCATAGCACAGAAGAAGCCAGAATGGCACTGCGGTCCCGATAACGACAGGGCACTGCGCGGAAAACCAAAGCACACTATGGAATGGTACAGTATAGCAACATGGCGTTGAACTGTATTATCATAGCATACAAAGCCTGAGCCGCATCCCCCTCTCCGCCCTCCCACCCCAGCCCGACCCCGACTTGGCTGATGGCTTGCACGACTGGCGAGTTCGTGCAGCGACGGCCGCGCCTGCGCACCACGAGATCGCGCCCCGGCGGCCGCGAAGCCCCGGAGTGGGAGAACAGGGAGACCGCCTGGGCCCGAGGGCGATCCGACGCAACGTGCTGCACCCCCGCGGTCGGCCCACCACCCAACGCGCTTCCCTGGCGGCTCGCGCGAGGACCCCTGGAACCAAAGCTGCCCCCGTGCACCCGAGGCCAGGATACTTCGCAGAGAGAACTGTGGACCCGGCGGGCTGTGCAGGGTTGGAGAACCTATTGGCCCAGGCACCCATAGGTCTGATACGGCTTCGTGGTCTCGGCAGTGCGGGTCCGACGCGCACTCCCGAAGCCACGAACCCTTGCGCAAGACCATGTATCCGCGCTCCCGAGGCCACGATCCCCCACAAAAAAACAGACGCCCCGCGCTCCCGAGGTCACGATCCCGTTAATGTGGTGTGTACATGTACACACACGCGTGAAAGAACTAACGAAACGGATGAACACACACACACACACACACTTTTTGACACCGCGGCCTCGCGCGCAGTGTCGAGGCGTAGAAAGTCAGGGAACGACAGGAGACAGACGTGCGCGGCTGGCCCCTCGGAAGACGGGGCAGGGACCCACACGAGGGGATCAGCCATGCCATGCGCACAACCGGGCCTGGGCAGCGAGCGAGGGGGCAGGCGAAAGGACGATGCGGAACAGGAGCTGCAAAGGTCAAAATGACCACTCCTGGCGGTTGGCTTGGCCATCCGCCGCAGGGCGATTTTGTGCGTGGCAGTACTCGGGAGCACTGCCAGGGAGGCCAGACACCCCTCACAAGCCTTCCCTTGCTCGCGGAACTCAAGTCCGCGAGGTGTGCCGATCAGGATGCACCCAATGACAGCCTTCCCAGTAGGAGTCGTGACCGCACCCCCCGATGCGGCGAGGACTATAAAGTCAGGGCACTAGGCCTACACTCCCTGGGTCGGCTGCCACGGACCGCCGTCACGGCACACTTGCGTCTGCTGGAGGCCCCCTCTACCTCCTTGGCCTTGATGCCCTCCGCCGCCTCTGGGGAAAGACGTCCGTCGACAGATACTGCCAGCATCAAGTTACCCCTGGCCGCTACGAGGAGGCTTGCAGTCCGACTTTCGGCCAGGCGAAAGGACGATGCCTCAACAGGCCGGTGACGACGGCACGTGGAGACTTGGCAGGGCGAGACGAGGTCACCGGCAGGACGGGCGCGGACGAGGCTTAGGGCAGGACGGGGAAGCCTCCTCCTCCTCCTCCTCCTCCTCCTCCTCCTCCTCCTCCTCCTCCTCCTCCTCCTCCTCCTCCTCCTCCTCCTCCTCTTCCTCCTCTTTTCCTGCTCCTCCTCCTCTTGTCCTCCTCCTCCCCTTGTCCTCCTCCTCTTTTCCTCCTCCTCTTTCACATCCTCCTCCTCCTCCTCCTCCTCCTCCTCCTCCTCCTCCTCCTCCTCCTCCTCTACCACTTTTCCTCCTCCTCCTCCTCCTCCTCCTCCTCCTCCTCCTCCTCCCTTTTCCTCTCGCCTTTTACCTCCGCCCCTCTTTTCCTCCTCCTCCCTCCTCCTCCTCCTCCTACTCCTCCTCCTCCTCCACTTGTCCTCCTCCACTTGTCCTCCTCCTCTCTCCCCCTCCTCCTCCTCCTCCTCCTCCTCCTCCTCCTCCCCTCCTCCCCTCCTCCTCCTCCTCCTCC